GGGGAGGCTGAGGCAGAAAGATTACTACAAGTTCACAGTCAGTCTGGGATACATAGCTACATGGCAAGACCCTGTCTCAACAACAACAAAAGTTGGAGGAAGACACTTGAGAAGAGTTCTTTGGAAGATGGTAGAGGGAGCGGCAACTTTGGCCTCTTCCCTTCAAAGCTGAGGTGTGTCTAGCAGACCCCTGAACAGCAGTTCTGTTTTCAAAGCAAGGTTAGAGGCTCTTAACTGGGTGGGATGTCACTCCTGAAAGACTCATTCCAGCAAAACCAACATGAAGCATGCCTGTTTGCCCAGCTTGGAGACCTTCATGTCAAGAATTCATGTCAGTTACCAAGAGGATTATTTACAAAAGGAAATGGGCTCTGCTTTCAGTGACAGACCCACACAACACAGGTACAAATGTCTTATCTGAATGTTTCCATCTGTTGCCTTCTTCGGAGGCCAAATACTCAGCAGAACCAAGAGCAAGACAGTCGTTATGGATGACACTAAGGAGTCACCTTTTAAAGATGTCAACCAGAAAAAGGGTGTCACTGTGCTACTCCAGGTATATGAAAGCCCCTGGGACAACCATCATGAAAAGCAGTTTCTACTCATGTTTCTCAAATGTTCTCAAGTACTGCAGTAAATCAAATGACAAATCCAGGAAGCTTTAGAGCATCATTTAACACAGAGTAGGTACTCAATAAATACTGGCAGAATCTTATTCATTTGTTACAAGTAATTTGACTAACTTAATATTGAAAAGTTGAGAGGCTCCTCAAATATATTTAGATAACATACATATTATAATTTTGATTAAAAATGGATATGCAACTGAGCAGCATGTCCATATTTCTGAGACTTTCCACACAGCTGTAGACCTCACCTACAAGTCATGATTAAGTGACCATTATTCTGACTATTGTGGGTGAGGGATACTTTATTGGGATCCATGAATTTAAAATCTTATGCAATATCAAGAGAGTGGATTTTTAAAAAATATTATTTTTGTTTTACATGTATGTGTGTATTGCCTGCATGTAGGTAAGTTCACCCATGTCGTGCAATGCCCATGGAGGACAGAAGAGGCTGTTGGATCCCTTGGAACTGGAGTTACAGACAGTTGTTAGCTGCCATGTGGGTGCTGGGATTCGAACCTGGGTCTTCTGCAAGAACCAGTGTTCTTAATCACTGAACCATCTCTCCAGCCCGAGTGGATTTTTTTTTTAATGTGTAGAGTGTGTATATGTGTGGACATATGCATATGTACGTGTGTGGGTCTGAGGTTGATGCTGGGTATCTTTCTTGATTACATTCAACCTTCTATATTGAGGCAGGGCCTCTCACTTGAACTCTGTTCACTGTTTTAAAAGCTATTTGTTCTGGGGAATCTCTGCCTCTGCTTTAGTCATGCCAGGATTAAAGGTAGGCCAGCACACCCATCTGGAGTTTATATGGGTGCTAGGGGTCAGAACTCTGGTCCTCATGCTTTTAAGGCAAATTTTATAAGCTGAGCCATCTCTCTAGCCCTAAGAGAGTGGATTTTTACATGCTTCTTTTCAAATTAAAAGAGTATTAAAGTTTCTGGGAGTTAAAAAACAAAAAATGTAAATAATCTACTGCTATTGATGAACTTCAACAACAGGCATTTAGATTGCTTAATTTCATGTTCAGGCAGATGCTCAGACCCATGCAAGTTTTATAAGCTTAAATTACTCTAATAGTAACAACTCTTTGGAATCATGTTTTTTTTTTCTGAAATATTTTCACAAAGGAACTATATAGACATGGGGTAATTTTAAATGTACATAATATGCAAATGTCTACTTTTTCTTAATCACTTCCTCTCATTTGGCTCATTCTCCACTTAGCTTCCTTTCCCAGGTCCTTGGAATCTATTTCAGGTGGCCATAACAAGACAGTCCGACAGTACAGAAACGTGCAAAAAAGCAACGATGTGCAAAAAAGATCTCAGATGAAAGAGAAACCACAAATGATAAGTTGTGGGGCTTACTGCAAAGATTAGAGGTTGCCTTTCTTGACTGCTTGCAAAATTGCCTAAGTCCCTGAGTTCCTTTTGTGGCAGGAGACCTACATTCCTGTAAGGCCTTCAATACTGTGAGGACCCTTACTCCCTAGCTATGGAAGGAGTCCTAGGAATATCCACTGCACAGTTGGGCAGGAAAGTACCCTGGTCAGTGGGGTATGTTCTTGCTGTTAGTTGGGCCAACAGACAATGGATTCCTGCATGATGGACGGTGGCTGGTGGCCATGTCTCATTTCCCTTTCTAGAATCTACAGTCTATGAGAACCTTTATGTCCTGACATTTCTCATATATATTTGCCTCAACAGGAAAAACCTTCAGGGAAGAGGTTATAAACACTGCAAGATTCATAGTTTGGCTTTGTACTTAGAGACACTATGAACCCTTAAAGGTATGTAAGAAATGGCTGGTGAGTTTTTCTGAGAGACTCTGTAGCTTTTTAAAAAGAGGGTCTCACATAGCCCAAGTTGCCTTGAACTCCTGACCATCCTGCCTCCATTTTCTGAATGCTGGGATAAAAGGCATGCCCTCTAAGCACAGTGGGATTCTGTAACTTTAAACAAATTCTGAAATGGTCTCTGACCCAGAATATTGGGAGGCACTAACATTCCCATATCTGTAGTCACTGTGAGGCTGATCAAGCCATCTTTTCACAAAACCTACTGTGTTTTCTCAGTCATTTCTTCACATAAGATGTTGCAGGAAATCCAGGCATGGTGGTGCACACCTTTAATCCCAGCACACAGGAGGCAGAGGCAGGCAGATCTCTGTGTGACAGAGGCCAGCCTGGTCTACATAGTGAGTTCCAGGCCAGACGGAGCTTACAGAGAGACCCTGTCTCAAAAAGACAAACAAATAAACCAAAAACCAAAACGAATGAAAAAATGATGCTGCAGGAAAAACTAAATGATGTCCTAATGAAGTAAGGAAACTGTCACAAGTAAAGGTTTCCTACAGCTTATTTTTTTATGTTGTGAAAAATAAATGCTTCTCAGTGAAAGTTAACTACAGTAGATGCATTCATTAAAGAATAAAACCCCAGAAACACTAACAAGTGGGTTTTTTTTCCACCCTGTTTTGAAAGTCCTGATGTGAAAGAATAGTAAATCTCCCTATTTAGGCCACAGATTGTAGAAAACACAAGGGTGGCAGGAGGGGCACCCTCATCTGAGGTGTACTGAGCTTTTCAATGAGGAAATACCAGGCACTAAAGTTAGGTTTTAGAATATTTTAATATCCATTTCTTCAGTGGATGCATTTTTAAATTCTTAGGATTTAACAATTTAAAAAGAGCAAAGGAAACATGGAAATGCAAGAACAGTTGGCTCTTGCTAATTGAATTTCAGATTCTAGGTAGGATATGATTTTTCAAAACAACCAATCAAAAAAAATGCTTACCTCAAAAATCAAGAAATTCAAATGCAGACTTATCTTTGGAAACTATAAGTGACTACAGCCCAGGTGACCACTGCACACTGCCTTTGGCTCTCCTTGTCGTGTACAAATGTGCAGGTGCAGTTCCCAGGAGTGAAGTCGGTGGAGGAAGCCATGCACAGGTGTGGCACAATCTGTGGGGCTCTTCAAGCAGTTTAAGGGTTTATAACTGATGCTCTACGTTCATTTGCATTGGATAAATTATGTGTGCTTGATCATACAGATGTATAAAATTTGATCTGAGCTGGGGCCGAGCAAAAGAGCAATTGCAAGGCAAAGCAACTATTTACACACATTCAATTCTGAAATATTGCTTCCTGCCCTAAGTTCCTAAGAAGTATCGCCACCTAAAGGACTCTCAAGCCCACTTCCTAGAAGCCCAACTGTCTCCAGCAACAGTTGCTTGTTCAATGCCATTAGACTGAGCTGCACGGCAGGTGTGCTGCAGAGATTCTGTGGTTTTGTGTTGAGGTATGCTTTGGGGCAGGGAGTTGGAAAGGCCCAAGGGGCCTCGCACCCCAAGAGAAGAATGTCTGCACTGGTTCTTCAGGAAGGCTCAGGGTGTTTTTAAGACCATTATACTCGGTGTGAGCTGCCCTTCATCAGGGGCTCCACTTGCACAACACTGAACCAGACCACCTGCTCAAGGTTAATGATTCTGTCCAGCTAGTTTGCAGGTCTGGGGCTGGGATGAGGCTGGGGAAGAATCATAAACACCTTTGTGGCAGGGGAAGGAGACTAGTTTGACAGGGAAGATGTGCGTATATGTGTGCGTGCATGCGTGTGTGTGTGTGTGTGTGTGTGTGTGTGTGTGTGTGTGTGTAGATGATCTTGGTAGAGCACATCTTGAATGGAGAGAGCAAAGACATTGACAACGAGTCATCTTAAAGCTATGCAGCCTGGAGGCGGAGGACTGACACTCTGATAGTATACCTTAATACTGACAGAAAGAAACCCAACATGTTCACAATCCCTGGTACAAGGAAAGCATCAGGTAGTGTTTTTTAAGAAAAAAAAATCTGTGATGATTTACAAGAATACATTCTTTAGAAGCAGGAAGTATTGTCCCAACTATCCTTTCTTCAGAGCTGGAAGACCAACAGGCAGCCAACTAGGAAGGAAAATCTTCCAGCTGCTGCAAATACTGTGGGCCCTGGCATGGCTGTCTTACTTGGATGGCCATTCTGGGTATCCCCAGGAGAAGTGGTTGACTCGAACTAAGATGTTAACATGCTAGCAACAGTCGGTTCTGTTCATCTTTGGGGAAAAGTGACAAGGGGATTTAACTTAGAGGTGAAAATTACACAGTGAGGTTTACCAGTGAAAGAACACGATACAGGGCACAGTGTGAAGACCTCTGACACAGAGCTAGTCCTCAGTTTCATGAGCTGCATACCAGCATAACCTGGAAAAATGACGATGACAACGATGACAACAGGGCAACTGCCGCCTGAGTTCCATTCAACATAAACTTCAGACTCAACGTGGAAAAAACACAATTACAAACAGATTAGAGACCAGGAGAACAAATGGGATTCCTTAGGTTTTCTTTCTCTAGGTGTCTGGATCTCCTTTGGCATACAGATGGTTCTGACCCTCTCGAGAGTCTGACTCAGTAGGCAGGATTAAATCCTGCTGCAAATCGGTCCAACAGTGGGAGAGAATGGACAAACTTAAGTTTGTAGAAGCCTGCTTTGAGCCGAGCCGGTTTTGCTCTGGATCCCCACAAGGGGGAGCAGCACCCTGGGTGGCAGCGTGGGCCACAGTGGCTGAGACTTGAAACATTGAGGGGCATCCTGCCAGCAGTTTGCTGTGTTCTTTGCAAACTGTACTGCCCACCCCAGCCTGCTTTCCTTCACCCAAACAGTCCAGTGACCCCCCTCCCCAAAATACACACGTCTTGATAAATAAATAAATAAATAAATGTGACTCTCAGACAGTTCTGAGTTTCTCCCTCTGATGAGTCAGCTTCTAAAACACCTTTACTCCTGGCTGGAAGACCCCTCTGCCAAGGGTCAGGATGAAAAACGGCTTTGAGATACCTGAGGCCTGGGTTTGTAAGTTTTGTGCCTGATGAGCATCTGAAATCTTGATCTGCATGCATGTGAACCCCTGAAACTGCCCGGTTTTAGGAGGGAGGTCCATTTATGGCTCATAGGAGTGTGAGCCCAGGTGCTCAAGAGATATGGGGAGGAGGCTTGCTGGCTTCCCAGTCTGACTCTCCTTTTATAGCCCCTCCCCCAGGATGAGTTACTGGCACTTTATGTCAGATTCATAAATGCAAGTGTGTGTGCGTGTATATGTTTAGAAAGGCTAGGTGACTGAGAAACACTATTACACATATAGAAAAAAAATAAACTGGAAAAACACTGTATGAGGGAAAAAAAGTTTGTGAGAAAAGGCAATAAAAATGGTATCTTAACCACAGCTTTTTAAAAAAGAAGTCAAATAATACCCAGAGCCATGATTCCACCAGTGGCCTCGGTCCTAGACTCAAGGCTCAAGGCCAACCCCTGAAGGCACTTGTATTCTTCCACGCCGCTGAATGGACCCTGCCCATAGAGGGCAAGTTTCTGGGAAAGAGGACAAAGGAAAGAAGAAATGGATGGAGATGAACCCTGAATAACTGTGATCCACACAGAAATTAGGGCTGTCATGACCACATAACACCACATCTGGGGACAGAAACTGAGGTGCTTAGAAAGCACAACAGTCAGATACAAATATTATTGTGTTTCGACGAACAGAGCACCTCGGCAGCTCTTGGCGCTGCCTCATACACTCTTTGAGACATTGAGCTTGGTGAGTTCATTGGCTTCTTCTATTCCTGTGTCTTCACAGTCATCTTTTTCTATGGCTTTGCCAAATCGACACCTCTCTTCGGCTTTGACTGGCTCTCTCCAGGGTCTCTTAGAGGACAGGTGCACATCCTTGGCCTGAGTGTTGTCATCAGAGCCCAGGGAAGTCTTGTCCGAATACTGGACAGAAGGCACCAGGTTGGCAATCTCATCTGTGGGAGACCGTCCAATGCTGCCATCCACCTGTACTCGGATGTCTGGGGAGATGGACAGCTGGTGCTGTGGCACAACCCCATTATCCATGCACTTTGGGTAAAGGTAGGTCTTCATCTGTCCTTTCCCCTTGACATTCACAGTCCCGCGGTAGTCAAAGTCATAGCCCATCTTGCTCAGCACACGGTAGCTCTCTTCGCTCACCTGGATGCGGCACTCAACCCCAGTGGTATCCATCCTGCTGGCAATGTTGACAGTGTCCCCCCAGATGTCGTACAGCAGCTTGGTGGTGCCAATGACACCTGCTGTAAGGGGCCCATGATTAAAGCCAACTCTGAGCTTGAAGTTGAACCACAGCATGTTGTTATTGAAGTCATCTACCACATGCATCATCTCCTTGGCGAACTCGAACAGGATCCGTAGATGCTCCTGTGGGTGGCCACCTTCCTGACACTGGGCCGTGTTCAGCCCTGATGCTGCCATGTATGTGGCCCCAATGGTCTTGATCTTTTCAATGCTGTTGTAGTCTGGCTTGCTCAGGAGCTCATCAAAGTCACCAATCAGCTCATTGAGGACCCGGTAGCACTCCTTGCCCCCTTCGTAGTTCTCCTCATAGAACTCACTGAAGTTTACAATGCTGGCGAAGATCACACCTCCACTATCGTGGTTCTTGGAGTAGGTCTGGGAAACTTTCAGCTGCTCAGCCACATGGTAGGGGATGATGTTCCTCAGTAGCCAGTCAGCCTGGTCCCTCATGCTTTGGATCTTAGTGCGGTGGAGATCTGCTTCCACATCCCCATGGTAGTGCAGGCGGTAGCTGACCTCGAACTCTCTGTTCAGGAACCAGACCAAGAGGAGCAGGAGGAAGAAGGCGAGGATGAGTTCCTTGCCTACGAGGTTGGCTGGCCTCCTGCTATCCTGCAGCAGTGAGCTGTTGCATGGGTTCCTCTCAACACTGGAGTAGAGAGATGAGAAAGGGCGTATCTGTTCAGTGTATCTGTTAAGGGAAAGCTCCAAACCTGCTTAGAGAGTGAGCACTCTATGTCAAATGAGGCTAAATTTCACCCTCAACACCCTGAGGACATAAAGCAGCCTGCTCCTGTTTGTTTTGCAGGCTGCAGGGTTGCTTTTTATCTTGTTTATATTTGTTTTGGTTTCTTGAGACAGGGTCTCATGTAGTTGAAACTGGTCTCAAATGTGCTGTGTAGCTGGAGGCTGGCCCTCAACTCATCCTCCTGCCTCCATCACCCAAGTACTGGGATTACAGGCCTGTGCCACTAAGCCCAGTTGTAATGGCTTTTTAAAGAACTCATTAGATTAAAAAAAGTCTTTTCTTTTTCCTCAAATATTTCCTTTGAAAATTTTCAACTTTAAGGAAAAGTCTGGTAAAACAAGCACTATAATACCCTTTACCTGGGTTTGACTATTGTTGTCTTTACTTTTCCTCTCAACACATACATAGAGACAAACGAAGCACACAGAGACACATATACACATACAAACTTACCGCAACACTTAGAGACACACACAAACATACTTTTGCTAAACATTTTGGAAGTAGGTTGCTGGTCTAACTATTTTAGTATATATCTCCTTAAGGACATTTCTCTTTGTGATCACAGTACCATCACCATAGCCAAGAAACCATACCCAGAAGCCTCTGATACATTTTATTTTTAGATTTCTAATCCAACAGATTTATAATTTTACAAAAACTTTCTGTAAGTTCTACTCTCTACTTGTATGAAAGTTTAAGAAAATACATTCCCCCCATTCTAGTAAGCTCTGCTTTACCAAAATCATTTAAGACAATCTTAGCATTAAAAAAAGATTTTATACATTTAAGAGTAATATATACATGTGTTAAGAAAGTCAAGCAGCATAAGCAATGGGAAAGTAGCTTTTCCTGGTGGTAACTCATGCAGCTCTTTTCTTGTGGTTGTAATCTAATATTCAGATATACCACTTCATGCTGAGGGATGCTGTATTTACGATCGGAAATAATGTTGCAGTGAACATTCCTATACCCCCATCTTTACATGTATGGCATTGCTGAGTCATTTTAAATACTGTGCATTTAAAATTTCATTAGAAATTTCAAAATTGTCCTCCTTTTAAATGCTGGGGATTGAACCCAGGGCATTGTCCTTCTCAGAAGCTGCACGTCCTGTTCCCTTTTATTGATAACTGAACCTACTTTCAGTGGTGCTGTTTTCCTGCTGGAGAGTGCTGATGAGGAACCTGTGGCTGAAATGAGATTAGCATTGAGGACAGCCACATCTTTTTATGTATTTAAATTTTATTTATTTTATGTGTATAGTGTTTTGCCTGCATATATCTAAGTGCACCCATGTAAGGAATGCCCAAAAAGGTCAGAAGAGGGCATCGAATACCCTGGAACTAGAGTTATGGATGACTGTTAGCTGCCATGTGGGTGCTGAGAATTGAACTTAGGTCCTCTGGAAGAACAGCAAGTGCCCTTTATTGCTGAGGCATCTCTTCAGTTCTCCCTCCATTTTTGAAAAAGACAGGGTCTCATGTGGCCCAGGCTGGCCTGAACTGAACTTATTATATAGCTGAGGATAGCTTTGCATTCCCAATCCTCCTGCCTCCACCTCCCAAATGCTGGGATTATAAGCATATACCACAATACCTGCTCAGGTTTTTTTTCTTCCTTTAAAAATATTACATAATCATAGAAAATTGGAGAAAAAATAGAAATTTAAAAAAATGATTCATCCATTGTTCTGCTATCCCAAGGCAATTATCTTCAACATTTGAACATCCTTCCTTCTCTCAACCCAACCCTTGCTCTTTCCTTTCCTCTTTTAACAGGACTGTGACTGTTCAGCTCACATAAGCTTTATAACTTGATATCTTCCTAAATTGCCCAAAGTGTGCTATTAGGTTTTATGTAACTTGGTCACTATATAAATACAACTGAATATAGAACTGGTGTGTTTTCAGTTGAGATAGGTCTAGGACACAGAAACTTTAATTATTTGGTCAAAGTATTTAACTAAAGTTTTATTGTTACCTTTGACGTAAGAGTAGTTTAAAATAATGACCTTAGCCAGGCTTGGTGGCATGCACCTGTCACTCCAGCACTTCAGAAGTAGAGGCAAGAGTATCAGAAATCCAGGTTCATCCTTGACTACATAGTAAGTTTGAGGCCAACCTGGGCTACATAAGATCCTGTCTCAATTAAAATAATAAATTTGAGGCCTTTGAGGCTCTCTCTGAAGTAACATCACGGAAGCCCTGACCTTGGAATGGACCCTTGGGCTATTCTGATAGGACCACTGGAGAGTTCAAGGGCCTTGGGTAAGTCACATCATCCTGTTGGGACTCAGTTTGCTCATGTGTTAAGCAATGGAGATGTGTCAGAGTCCCATCTGCTTTAGGATTCTATGCAACAGTGCCAGCATGGTAGGGGAAACTGCATCCTCAGAAAGGCCTGGGTTGGAATCAGGGAGCTAGGTTTTGGGAAGGTTTCCACTCTTCCTGGGTGACAGCAGCTCATGGTGTCTAGACTGCTTGAATAGGTAATGAAGTTTATGCTGAATGCCTGTGTTCTGTCTGGCCTGCATATATGACCACTGCTAATAGAAACTCTGGGTACCATATCTTGACTGAGATTGTCTAGGGCTGTCATAGCTCACTGGAAGGGAACTCATGGAAGCAGTTTTTCCCTTCACTGATTCCTTTTGCTCTGTCTTCTCCCTGTAATGTGCTGAATCCTGGGGCTGGCCTGGCCTGGAACCTAGCAATGGTTCCGTGGCTCAGTGGTTGGGAATCAGGACAGTCTTCTATGGTAAGATAACCCAAGTTTGTTTATTTGGCCTGAATCTAAAGAATAGCAAAGTGACCACTCCATTCAGTCAACTAAAACATATTTCTGTCCAGCCTGGGGTTCTCTGGATGGCGTTTTAAAAAAATATTTTATTTTCATTACCATTGAAATATACCTGATGACTTTATATCCATGCTCAGATGCCAAGGAGCTCAGAAACTGACTATGACTAGCTAGTAATAATCAGATATATAGAGATTAGAAACGCATGTGCAAACATCTTAATG